GTGACATTGAAATTATTACTTGCTTTGTCCATACTTAATAGTTTCAAAATAACCATGCTGTTTTTACTAACAATATCTCTGTTGAATGCAGTTTAAAGTTTCTTCCTGATTCTCCTTGTCCTTAAGAAAAATCCCTCTACAATTATACACTTAAACTATTGTGTTTTGAAGTTGTTGAGAAAATTCTTTTTGTGACTTATTAAAAACTTAACTTCCATTGTTTCAGCTTTTTAAAGAGATTTTTTTGCTTTAATTTTTATTTTTTAATTATGTAAAATATTTACAGATTATTCAGAGTTAGAACTGAAATGAGATATATTCAGAGAAAAATGTGGTATATTCATGCAATGGAATATTATTCAGCTTTGAAAAAAGAAAATTTAGACACATGCTAACATGGATGACCATGTCGTCCTGGTCATGGACATTATTCTAAATGAAATAAACCAGATGTACTGTCTGATTCTACTTATGAGGTATCTAGAGTAGGTAAATTTGTAGAGACAGAAAGTAGAACAGTGGCTGCCAGGGGTTGGGGGAAGAAGGGAGTAGGGAGACATTGTTACTGGGTATAGCATTTCAGTATGGGATGATAGAAACATTTTAAAGAGAGTTGGTGGTGATGTTTGGTTGTACAACAGTGTGAATGTACTTCCATCACTGAACTATATGACTTAAAAATAGTTAAAGTGGTAAGTTGTATGTTATGTATATTTTACCGGGAAAAAAAGGTCATATTTAGAGAGGTCTAGCTTCTAACCTTATGCCTGTTTTCTTTCCTTTCTATTGATAATCATTCTTGGTTTTTTAATTTATTATTCTATTTTTTAAATAAGGAAGTATTTATGTATTTGTATTTCACCCTTTTCTTAAAACTAGTGCCTTTGTACCTTTTCTCTCTTTTAGTCATCTTAGTATATAGATATCTTTCCAATTTCATTTTTACAGCTTCATATTGTATAGATATTCCATATGTATTCAACCTGTCTGCTACTGATGGATATTTTAGTTTCCAGCCTTTTGCTATTACAAATAGAACTGCCATGGATAGCCTTTTTACACATGTTATTCTGTATTTTTACTATTATGTCTTTGGGATGAATCCCTAGAAGTGGGCTTACTGGGTCAGAGAATAGATGGAGTTGTAATTTTGCTAGGTATGGCTATAGTCCCTGCCTTAGTTTGAACCATTTGAATCTCTACCAGCAGTGTTTTGAGAGTGCCTGTTTTTCTAGAGCCTCACCAGCAAATATACCAGAATATATTGTCAAAATGTTGGATTTTTACCAGTCTGACAGGTGAGAAATTATATGTCAATTTTAACTTGCATTTCTCTTGTTATAAGGAGTTGGACATGTTTTCATGTGTTTTAAGGGACTTTGCATTTTTTTTTTGTATCATTAATGTACAATTACATGAGCAACATTTTGGTTACTAGACTCCCCCAATTATCAAGTCCCCACCACATATCCCATTACAGTCACTGTCCATCAGTGTAGTAAGATGCTACAGAATCACTACTTGTCTTCTCTGTGTTACACTGCCTTCCCTGTGACTCCCCTCACATTGTGTGTGCTAATCGTAATGTCGCTTTTTCCCCTTTTCCCCCTTATCCCTCCCTTCCCACCCATCCTCCCCAGTTCCTTTCCCTTTGGTACCTGTTAGTCCATTCTTGGGTTCTGTGATTCTGCTGCTGTTTTGTTCCTTCAGTTTTTCCTTTGTTGTTATACTCCACAGATGAGTGAAATAATTTGGTATTTCTCTTTCTCTGCTTGGCTTATTTCACTGAGCATAATACCCTCTAGCTCTATCCATGTTGTTGCAAATGGTAGGATTTGTTTTCTTCTTATGGCTGAATAATATTCCATTGTGTATATGTACCACATCTTCTTTATCCATTCATCTACTGATGGACACTTAGGTTGCTTCCATTTCTTGGCTATTGTAAATAGTGCTG